ACTGTTTTAGAGCAAGGCACTCTTTAATAAGAAAATTATGTTTAAAGTGGAAATGTTTCCGAATACTTGATACACCTGAATACAGTGTACATATGACAAGGAACATGTGTGAAGGCTTAATCTCACTTGTGCTCACTCAGGTTTATGATGGTAAGGCAAAAAAAATATTGTTGTCAAAGCCTGACTGATTCATGTCATTGTCACTGTGCTTAGCAACACAACATTTTGTTTGACCCGAGATGATACGTTCCAAAGCTCAATGCTGTGTAGAGTATTAGTTTATGATTTGACAAAAAAAGTATTGTGCACACCAGGAGTTTGAAATTAAGATAATTTTATTGATTATATTAAATTGATGGTAATTTGGCTGGCCTGGGCCCCCTAAATTTTTCAGAATTTAAAAAAAATTAGAAAAAAGAAAATTCTAGTCAAATTTTGAGTCTAAGAGTACTGTACAATTTCCAGCCATGTAGGTGCCATAATCATAAGTTTTCCATGGTTGGGACTGAGGTAGTATAAACCGTCAATCTGTGAAAGTCCCTATCTGGGCCCCTCTATTTCAAATTCTTGAATCTGCCACTGGTTGTTGTGAATATTTAATCTTTTGAATTCTTGTTTTGATTGATGTTGTTTACAGTAAATTTTTATTATTCATATCGTAATTGAGTTTTTATCTCAGATTTATGAACTCAATTGCGTTGGGTTTAGTATGATCCTGGTCTATTAGTCTTATGAGAAGTGCTTTGCAAGAAAATGCATAATGTCCCAGACCCTACTGTTTGTGTAGCTTTGTTGATTGATTCCAAGTTAGAAACTCGTCTATATAAATTTTGGATATTATGTGCTATATTATGATTGCAGTGAATCGTTTAATAGTAATAGTATTGACTGATTGAGTGAATATATTTACTGTTCAATTTTGGACTCCATGGGTAATGGGATGGACTCTGGCCTAAAATAGTGTTCCTGATACTCATTAATTTTTATTTTCATTGGTGGACAATTTATTTTAATGGAGGTTTACTCAATGTTGATCATCAAATAAATTCAATTATTTACCGTAATCAATCAATCATTAAATCTACTGTTATTCATCACTTGTTTTTTTTACCATTTTCATGGAGGATGGATTATCGTTGCAATTATCAATTGATTTATTCAATTTACTGATAGTTCATCACTTGTTTTTACCATTTTCATAGCAGATGGATTATAATTGCAATGAACAAATTACTTAATTAAAACTGACTAAGGGATTGACGATTGATTTATTTTCTAGATTATAAGGTCTATTATTGATACTGTTTTTCTTTAGGGACAGAAAAAAGTTTTTAAATCATTAGTTTAAAAAACAATATTCATAGAATTATCTTTCTATTCTAATAATGTTCTATATATAATGCATTGTTAAAGTATTTTTATGACTAGTATGATGTCATTGTTAACTGGGGCATATTTGACCTGCTCACTGAATGCGATTAATCCTTTCTTTCAAGTCAACCTTTGTACAAGAACAGAGACTTACAGGTAGCCTTTCAGTGAGTCATAATTTATATTAAGGTTTTAGATCAGCAAATATTTGTATTCTCCAAAGCCTTGATTAAAAGTAATGAAATAGTTTGACCTCACTAATGTGGTCAACATGACACGGTAGTTGTTATTGGTTTAAAGTTACTATTGGGTAGCATTCTGTCCAATCAAACAATTACAATAATGCTGCTATAGTCCACAGAAAATGGATAATTACTAGAAATTGCAAATTGCAAGTGAAGTGCTGCGAAGTACAACTGCATATAAATGTTCTT